TGAGAATTTCTTGTTGTGGCCCAGTGCCACAGTTTCATCATCACTTTGTAAAGAGGGAACTTCATCTGACACATTTTCACATCTTTGAAGTGGAAGTGATGCTTTGAAGGAAACACAGAATAGTCTTGATGCATGCTCAATCATCCAGGTAAGTAAACCCCCAAAAGCTGATTCTGTTCATCTGGACGTAGCGTTTTGTGGGAGAAACGTTTTGTCACTCATCCAAGTGACTTCCTCAGTCTCAGCTGACTGCAGGTTTCCCCAATCTAATGAACAGTACGCAGTACTGACACAGTTTATAAACAGTTTATAAGATTGGGGAAACCTACAGTCAGCTCAGTGAAAAAAGGAGATTTCCTGTGATTTCCATGCGTTTCTGTTTCTCTGTGTTTGATGAGTTCTGACTTCTGTAAATACGTATACTGTATGTATGAAGAGGCAGATGGAGTTTGTGTCTCACTCATGTAGTGACTGTTGTTGTTAAACAGACACCATGACAGAGATCATAAAGGTCTCCTGATGTTAGAAATGAGACAAAGGCAGGAGGTGTGTGGACTGTGTGTAGAAGCATGTGTGTGTTACTGAAATGTTTGAAGTCTGTTCATGAATCCAGTCATGTTTAGTTCAATATAGTGATGTGCTGATCTTTACCATGTTTTGATCCATCTGGATTCAAATGATGAACAGATCAGTCCTGTGTTTACTGTCATGGAGCTGACACGTGTCACACAACTCTGAGTCCTCTTGTTCTCGCTGCTTTGAAGCCACTAGTTTGGAGCCACAGGCTGGATGCAATTTCAGCCAAACAACAGAGACGACCAAACAATACTGAAGCTTTGAAGCTGGCATCGCTGGTCCTGAAGCGCAGCCGTTCAAAACGCCACAGTTGTGAGCTCGTTTGAAACTTTGAGCGTCGTCGCTGCTTCACGGTGGCACATTTCACTGGTTTGACAGCTTTGACTCATTGGTGCTGAACTATCCATATAGCCTATTGAAGACAAGCATCTTTTTGGAACCATGATAACAGGGTTCTTGCCGATCGGCGCTGTATTGGCCCTGGCTTATCGAAGAATGAAAAAGCGGAAACAGCTGTTCAGATTCCCACAAGGCTGCCCGCTATGTTGATTGGAACGATGGAGCGAGTCGTGGCTTCTCAGAATGGGCTCATTAGATGCAGCACGGATGACATCTTGGAGAAGCTTGTGGCTGCTGTGAGTGCTGAGACTGACAACATCTGGCAACATCTTGGAGAGGCTCACAGCTGTTGTGAACACTCATGCTCTATGAGCAAACTGGATAACATCCATCTTGCTGCAGGGCAACTTGCATCTGACAAATAAAGGCTGTCTTGACTTGACTTGATATGTAGCTCTCTCTAAAGTCATTCGTTTATTTTGATGAATGAATAATTCACGAGTTCATGATGTGTTTAAATGTTCAAAAATGTGCATTAGTGGTTCAAATACAGAGAGAAACAATTTAAAATGTGTTCAAATATTTAAAGTTATCCACAGTATTTCTGAGTTCGCAGTGAGGACAGTTCAACGCCTCACCCGTCACTTCTCACCGACTGGGTAGATGACATGAAACTATGATTAGCTACATCAACATTATTAACTAACTTGCACTGTCCGAAGGCGTTGGTGGCGAGGAACTGCGTAATTACAAGAGCACCGAGGCGTATAGTTACCTGCACAGCAACAAAATTGATAAAGTATTGCTCAACAAACAATCTTGGCTATTGAGCCAAGATGGCGCCGAGTATGGCAGCCTCGTCGCGAGCTCCCCTAAGCAACAGTTGGTTTTTGCTTTTAATTTTCCTTTTCCTTTATTATTTCACGAGTAGCACATGTCTCTTTGTGTAGGACCGGCAAACCTTACTGGACATAAGAGATGGACTTTCTCATCACTTTCCAGAGTTCAAGTTTTGCAACACGGACCCTCTGTTCGCAGACCCCCCATTCATTTCACCTGAGACGCCTTTGTTCTGGCCCCCTGGAGGCCGCAAACGCAGAGGGATAAGATCTGGCGTTATGGTTCGACTGAGATGGCGCACTAACAGACCACCTTACCCAGTTTATTACTGGCTAATGTGCAGTCTCTGGAGAAGAAGTTGTGCGAGCTTCGGGCAGGGATCTCATTCTGCTGCGTGATCTGCCTCACAGAAACCTGGCTATCGGACAAGGTACCGGACTCCGCAATACAGCTACCGGGGTTCTCTGTGCACCGCGCGGACAGGTCACAGGATCTTACTGGGAAAAGCAGAGGCGGTGGTGTGTGTTTCATGATCAACAACAGCTGGTGTGATTATGCGAACGTGCACCCGGTCAAATCCTTCGGCTCACCGGACCTGGAGTACCTGATGATTAAGTGCCGGCCATTCTGGCTACCGAGGGAATTTACAGCAGTGATTATTACGGCTGTTTACATTCCCCCACAAGCCGACACTGACCGAGCACTCCGGGAACTGTACAGCGCGGACCGCAGTGAGGAAACTGTACACCAAGATGCGGCGTTTATCACCACCGGAGACTTTAACAAGGGAAACCGGATGAAAGTTCCACCAAAACTCCACCAACACATCCATTTCAACACTCGTGGAGACCGGCTACTTGACCACTGCTACTTCCGGGATGCATACAAAGCCCTCCCCCGCACCCATTCGGCCAATCAGATCACCGCTCCATCCTGCTCCTGCCCGCCTACAGGCAGAAGCTGAAACAGGAAGCTCCAACCCTGAGGGCAGTGCATCGTTGGTCAGACCAATCGGAATCCACGCTGCGGGACTGTTTTGATCACGCAGACAGGGAAATGTTTCAAGACTCTCAAATAAACTTCCCTCTTGAAAAGAATTCCACAGACTCTTTAAAAGTTTTGCTAAACTGCCTCGATGACATTAAATCATGGCTGGCATTACATTTTTTGAAAGTAAATGATCAAAAAACTATGATTGTACCATTCGGACCTTCTGACCTTCGTTCTTGTCTTAAGGTTGACATTGGCCTTCTGAAAAGGTGTAGAACTCCTGTTGCAAAAAATCTGGATGTGTTGAAACAAATAAATTCTGCTGTAAGAGCCACCTTCTTCCAGCTCAGGGCCCTTGCCATAATGAAGTACATCTTGTCGATGTTTCTGACGTCGAGAAAGTTATTCATGCATTTATTTTTTTCAAGCTTGGTTCTGTCACGATCCTGGGTGGGTGACCCAGTGTTTTGAGTTTCTTGTGTATGAGTTTTTGTATTTTTATCTTAGTTCTCTTTGTTGCCCAAGTTTATTCTTTAGTCTAGTGTCTTAGTTTGGCTTTCTTGTATTCTCTTTAGTTTTCTTAGTATTTAGTAGCTGCCTTTGTGTCTCCTTGTTGTTGTTCTGTGTTTCTTAGTGCTCTGTCTCCCATAGTCAAGTCTGCATCTGTTACATTTCCTGTTTTACTTTGAAGGTCTGTGTCCTACGTGAATGTATTGAGTTTCGCTTCCCTTGGGTCTCATTCTGTCCAATTTCTCCCAGCTGTGCTCCCCTTCTGTGTCTCATTCCCCTCGTTACTTCCCAGTGTATTTAATCCCTGTGTTTGTTTGCGTCAGTGTTGTGATCTCCTGCATGCTGTGTGTGATTCTCCCTATGTTTCCTGGAGTGCCTTATATTTAGTTTTTCCAGTTTAGTTTAGTATTATTTGTGATCTGTTTTCCAGCAAAAAAACATGACAGGTTGGTGTACGGATGAAAATGATACAAACTGCTGAGCTTTTAAACCGGCTGATCCAGTCTTTTATCTGAGGTGGAGTCAGTTACACAGTGCAGCACCTGCAGGTAAAACAGAAGCAAAGCTGTTCCTTTGAAATGAAACTAAAAGCCTCTCTGAGCGTCTCCCTGTAGAAAATGGAGGCTGAGCTCAGTCAGGTCACTGAGCCAGCAGGTAAAATGGACGAGTGTTTGAAATGTGCAGATAAACAGTCACAGCTTTGCATCGGACTCCGAGGGCTCAGAGCCGTCCTGTTGTCATGTTATCAAGTGCATGAGGGCTCTCTGCACATGCTTTGGGTCCTTATTCACATTTTCTTTAAGTCCTTATCTCTGTTCAATTTACTTGAGGGATTACCCACAGGTCATAGGGCTGTGAAATTGAAAGCATTAAGCACAAGTATGGAAATAAATACATAAACAAGCCAAAGGTTTGAGAGGAATGTAGCTCATTAGTAAAATGATTAATGATGAAGAAGACGTGAGGACCTAGAGAGCTCGGCCTGAGAGCTTCTAACAGTTCTTTGCTATCCAAGAGTGTCGACCTTACTTTTAGACATTACGTTTTTGTAATCTATTACGTAACTCTTATTTCCTCTTTCTCTGTAAATTTTTTAATTTGAAATTTGTACATTTTGTAAATTTTTTACTGTAGTTTCATGGTCGGGCATTGCACAGCAACAAGCATTTCAGTGCATGCCTTAATCTGTATGATTAGAAGAAGCAGCACAAAATTTGGTGCTTTATTTTGGTGCTTTTTTTTTTTTTTTTTTTTTTTCCCTTCCTGAGCTGTGATACACTTCAGATTCTAGCCAATCATTTTTACCTTTCCAAGGATAGTAGGCGGGCCCAGGTACGTACGTTCTTTTAGAGCAGAGCTACACATTAAAAATGCCCAAGGCGAAGCGGTCAAAAGTCTGGCTGTACTTCACAGCAAAAGATTCAAAATCAGCAGCCTGCAACAAGTGCTTTAAGGTGATACTGTGCAAAGGAGGTAACACCTCGAATCAATGAAACACCTGGTGACGCATAGTGGGTTCTTTTAAAGCCGAGAAATGCATCACACCTACTACAGGTGTGCTGCCTGTTATCGGACTCTGAGTTAGCAACATCCCCGAAAAACCCGAAGAGGTTCTTGGTATGCCGCGTACCATAAGAACGTCGAAGGTGTCCTTTTGGCTAAAAGTGGAAAACAGCTAAACATGAGAGGTTTTTGGACAAAGTTTGTGTTTTTTCCATTGTTCGAGCACCGTTTAAGCACTGGCACAGTTTCAAAAGTACCGGTTTGGCACCGGTATCGGATAAAACCTAAACGATACCCATCCGTAGTGACAAATAAAATTTTAATTTGAAAGAAGCTTTGAGTCTCATGTGGACACAGAGCGCAGGGTTAGGACTGCAGCTTCCTGACAGAACACTAAACTGATGATATACTCAAAGACTTCGTTTTCTGTGGCTGCCAATAACATGTTACCTAATCAATAACTGCTCATGAAATTAGTTAGTAAAATTGTACATTCAGTGAAACAAAAGCACAAATAGCTCGATCAAGTGTCACATATTTAATCAGAGTATGTCCCTGGGTCTTGTTAATCTGACATTAATGAGCTTCTGCAGTTAATAATTCTGATTGTTACTGTATTCTGCACAGCTTCCTTTTAATGGCCAAAACTGCAGGTCCCGCTACAAGACCCACTGCAGCTCCTGCTGCAGCGCCTACTGGACCTGGCACACTTCCAATACCAGCTCCAGCAGCTGCTCCAATAATTACTAGAATGACCCGTATAAGCCAGTTGTTTTTCTCTGCTCGTCTTCTTGCTTCTTTGGGCTCCATCTCAGGCTCTCTGACCATCTCATAGGTGTAGTATATTCCTCCATTATCCTGAACCATGGAGTCAATCTTCTTGAGCAGCTCCATCACCTGACCCCTGTCTCTGATCTCTTTGTTGTTGAACACATGGTACACACCGCTGCAGCTTGTCAGCAGCTCCTGCAGGTTCTCGTCCTCTCTGATGAACTGCTTTATGTCTGTGTCTTCCAGTCGGTCTGCGTAGGTGAACAGCAGCATGGTGTGTTTGGAGACATCAGGACTCAGCATCTTCTGCAGAGTTTTCAGCCCTTCCTGCTCCTGTGGGGTGAATCTTCCGAGCTGGAGGATGAGGAGGAAGACGTGAGGGCCTGGAGAGCTCAGCCTGAGAGCTTCTAACAGCTCTGCTTTCACCTGTTCTGTAGACAGTCGAGTGCTGAAGAGTCCGGGGGTGTCGACCACAGAGACTCTGCGACCCAGAACATCAGCTTCTATCTTCTCACTGCTCAGAGTCACAGGGCTGGAGCTCATCCTACAGTTAAACTCCTTCTTTCCCAGGATGGTGTTTCCCGCTGAGCTCTTCCCCACTTTCTCCTGACCCACCAGCACCACCCTTAGTTGTGAGCCTGAAAATAACACAGGGCATGAGGGGGAGGCAGACTCAGCTTCATGAAGCACATCGGCACACAATCAGTCTTCCTGTCAGCAGCTAAATTAAGACAAACATGCTGAACAGTAAAGGTCAGACACAGACTTTCATCTTTATATTTATTAGCATGTTTAATTCATACAGTTTTACTTTTTTTTTGTACTACATTATTGTGCTTCATATGATCTTGGTGTGAAAGAAGCTTTGAGCCTCATGTGGACACAGACCCAGGGTTAGTAATGCAGCTTCCTTTCAGAACACTAAACTAATGATGTACTGAAAGACTCAGTTTTCTGTGGCTCCCAGTAGCATATTACCTAACCCAGGATTATGTGTATGATTGATAATCAATAACTGCTCATGAAATTAGTAAAATTGTACATTCAGTGAAAGAAAAGCACAAACAGCAAGTGACATATATTTAATCAAAGTATGTTCCTGGATCTTGTTAATCTGACTTTAATGAGCTGTTGCAGCTGATAATGTACTCTGATTGTTACTGTATTTTGCACAAATGTCTTTTCATGACCACAGCTGCAGATCCCACTAGAAGACCCACTGCAGCTCCTGCTGCAGCTCCCACTGGACCTGCCACGCTTCCAAAAGCTGCTCCAACACCAACCTCAATACCAGCTCCAGCAGCAGCTCCAATAACTGCTAGAATGCCCCTAGTAAACCAGTTATTTCTCTCTGCTCGTTTTCTTGCCTCTATCAGCTGCATCTCTGGATTTTCTGTCAGAAGTTGTTTCATCTCTTCTCTGATGGCTCTCTCAGCCTGTCTGAACATCTCATTGGTGTAGTAGCTTTCTCCGTTTCTCTGAACCATGGTTTTGATCTTCTTCAGCAGCTCTTTTACTTGAGAGCGATCCTTCTTTTCTCTGTTGTTAAAAACATGATATCCTCCACCACACTGACGGATGAAGGCACTAAGGTCTGGATTTTCACTGATTAATTGTTTTATGGTGACTCCATTTTCCTTCAGTGCATCTCCATGAGTGAACAGGGCCATGGTGTATTGTGCCGATGCTTCTCCAAACATCTCCTGAATGATTTTCACAGTTTCTTGTTCTTCCTTTGTGAATCTGTTTGGCTGCAGCACTATCAGGAACACATGAGGACCAGGAGCAGCAAAGGAGATGCACTTGGCAATCTCTGTCTTCACCTGCTCCTCTGTAGTTACTCCGGTGCCAAACAGACCTGGAGTATCAACCACAGCCAAAACTTCTTCAAGCTGACCTGTTTCTTTCTGACACTTTGATGTCACTGATGAAGAAGACAGCTTAGATTCAAAAGGCTTTCCCCCTAAGATGGTGTTTCCTACTGCACTTTTCCCAACTCCGGTTTTCCCAACAAGTGCAATTCTGAGATCTGGTGCTTCCTCATCTGGAGAATTTTACAAAGACATCACTGATGTTACAAAAGTGCAAACACTGAATCCATTATATTACCATAACCACTATATTATTTAAGTACATGAAACATGTGGATATGATCTTTATCATGTTGGAGCCAAACAGTGAGCTGAAGCCTGTGAAACAACTACAGCAAAAGGCTGTCTGGATGGGAAATAACAGGGACGTCCACTACAAAGCAAGTTCAACATGTTCAACATACATTTACTTTATTTACCCTCATCATACACACAAACACTGTTATCATCTTGATGAGTCAGTCTGACTATGGTTTATCAGTCTGACTACGAGAGCATTCACATGAATGGGGGCAGTTTGAGGTTGTGGCCAGTAAGTTCTTCTCTACGTTCTTCCTGGATCTTTCATCCTGGAGCTAATTGGATTTCATTTATTTAAATTTTATTTATATAGCAACAAATCACAACAATAGTCACCTGAAGTTGCTACGGTTGTGGGTCATGCGACTCAGTTTTTTGAGCTTCACTGTATTTTGTTATTCATTTGTTCTCTTTCATTTTAGTTTATCTAGTTAATTTCTATTATGCATAGGTTGCTGTCGTTTGTGTTTTCGCCCCTGTGTTTTGGTCTCCCTTGCCCTTCGTATTGTCATGTCTGTCTCTCGTCATGTTTTCTATGTATTTGAAAGTCTTGTTTCCATGTCCATTGCGTTTAGGTTTAAATTTTCCTGTGATGTCATTTTGTTCATTTTAATCAGCTGTTTTCCTCACGTGCCTCCACTTCCTCTAATCACCTCATGTGTGTATTCAAGTCTTTGGTCTCTTACTGTTCATTATCAGGTCGCCTGTTATACTCTTCACAATTTTCATAGTCAATTATAGTTTTTTCACAGTCTGTCATACTTGTCCATAGTTTCATGTTTACTAACACCTTCAACCAAATAAAGGCTTGCCTTCTATTTTGCAACTCAACTCTGTCTGCTGCAGTGTCTGCTTTTGGGTCCTGTTTCAAAAACACACCTGCATACCCCCCGGTGACACAAGTTGCTTTAAGCTGCAAGATAAATAACCTGCTATATTTAAAGTATTCAAATGTGATATTATCTGTTCAGAGACCCAACTGATCTGCTGTTTTTTGATGATACTCGGAGGACACTAATCTAGAATACTGTCATGGTCTGTGTGCAGGTAGGCAGAAAAGGACCCAAAATGCAGAGGCAAACCTGAAACTCAAAATGGCAGCTTTATTGCTGAAAACTAGTAGAGCTTAACTAAACTTGAGGATACAAAATAAACAAAGGAGGCAGAACACAGACATATATGAGGGAGATCACAACACTGACAGAGAGACACACAGGGCTTAAATACACTGAAGGATAACGAGGGCATGAGACACAGAAAGAGAGCACAGCTGGGAGTAATTAGGCAGGACGAGACAAGGGAAGCAAAACTAGAAACACTAACGTGAGGAACAGACCTTCAAAGGAAAACAGGAAATGCATCAACAGAACTCTAGACATGTAAACTTGACAAAGACTGGGAGACAGAACATAGGAACCCAAAGTGTGGGACAGAGAGGCACAGAGTAGACACAACCGGGAACACAGGGAAGCCAAATAACAAAATCTACGAAGTCAAACCATAGCAGGGGTAATAATAATAACCACAATAATCAAAACAGCACAAAGGACTGAGCACATAAATCATAATATAAAATACTAAAACACAAGAAACTCAAAATGCTGGGTCACAAAGACCCAGAACCGTGACAGATACTGATAGTAAAATTATTAAAGTTATTTAACATTCTTTACAGTGAAGATGGAATGTATCTCTCTCTGTCTTTCTAGTCTGTCTTTCTCTCTTTCCTTGCTGTGGCTCCTCTGCTATTTGTTCTCCAGAGCACAGTTAGAATCATGTACAAGTACACCACAGAACTGTTTCTCTGTAAGCGCGTCACACACGTAATTGTTCTCATGATGACGCTGGAAGAAGTGTATAAATGAAACCTGCGGGATTGCCCTGGTGAGCACTCGCACAGACGTTCACTGTGTTTGCTTTCGCTTCCTTGCGAGTAAAATAAACGTGTTGGAGCTCGTTACTCTGTGTGTCTCACTTCATTAGAGAATTCTTCTAACAGATACTCATCATGTGAGCACCTGATTTAAACACAGATGTGATTACTGCAGTTTTCCAAACACTTGGAAAAACTCTAAAAGGCAAAATGGGAGCATCAGTAATTCTTGGATTAAAAGAAAAATTTAATCCTGGGAACTTCAAAGTGAGAGCTTTAACAGCGCCAGTAAAGTCATTATTATATGTCGTTGCTACTGTACATGGATCATGAACAATAAATAGAAAAATAAATAGTAGGATAAAGGTTCAGGAGGCTCTTGAATTCTTTTTACTCTCTGACCAAATTGAACATGAACACAAGTAAAATTAAATAAGTATGAAAATTGTAAATGTTCTTACCAAGCAGAGCATATTTGCTAGACATGTTTGTTTCGGGTATTTGATGGGTGAAGTATCACTGCTGATGTTGTGGCATGAATGGTTTCCTTATCACCTCAGATCTGTGTTAATAGCCTGTTTTTAGTCTCCTCCTTCTGAGGGTGTTCACATACAGCTCAGAGCTGCAGACGTGGCAAAAGTACAGACAGGCTGTACTGAAGTATAAGTACCAACACTAGTATTAAAAAAATACTCCGGTAAAAGTTAAAGCACTGAACCTTAATGATAAAATAATATCAGTAGCTGGGAATGTCAGAATTAATAAGATTGTCATTTGTGCTAAGATACATAGAACCATTGCTTTTATTGCTGTCAAAACCACAAATGTTCTGGTAACGACTTTTGACACAGTTTGAAAAGAACATTTTCTTCGCCTCTAAGCCAGGTGCTTCCTGTAGCTCATCTCGCTCTTGCTTCTCCAAAACCTCAGATGCATGCTCTGCAACAAAACTGTCAATTCTGCAG